CATTCTGGTTTTGGCTTGCTTTGGAGGAAGGCCCTGAATTCATCCAGAGTCATTCGACCGTCGTTACCATACTTGTCCAAGAACTAGAAAATATAAAGCGTAAAGGAAACCAAGTCAAACAGCTTCCAGAGATAATTGAATATGGTTTCGTTAAAACGCGTGGGACGAGTTGGCGTATTTGATAATAAGCCACGTTAATAGCAGATTTATTAATCACGCCACTCACCTCGTAGTGAACACAATGTGAATTCTGTAAATGTGAATTAATTTTAAAACCCGATAATAATGTCGATCTGATTTAATATAAACGATATTACTAGTACCGCTTGAGGCCGGTTAAAAGCGTTTTAAAATAGTTTCATATCGCGACATTTTTAATTCAGGTTATCGTCGTATTCGTGAGCATGGGCTACCAGAAATCTCATCTCAGCCCTTTGAAAGTAGAAGCGGTTTCCGTAACTGTGTTATTTAATTAGTTAATTAAACTTTATGGTTAAATTTGAATTGCCTTGACGATAATTAACCTTTAACCAAGATTGTGGGCGTAGTTATTGCCAGCTATTATTAGCAACACTTATTGCTACAGGCCAAAACACAACGTGTAATGAGTAAAAACAAGACAACGATTGCAATTAAGATGAGCTAAACAGAGTCTTATTTACGTAAAAAAGTACAATACAAAGATAAAAGCCAAAATTTTCAAAATAAGCCCTAACTGTATAGGCATTAACTGAGTAGTCTCGAGGCGTGGGAAAAAATTGTCTGCATTACGTGCATTGACATCGCAAATTTAAGCTAATGCAAATTTATGCATTAGGAGCATGCATACAAACCATACCAAGTTATGATTTAAATCTCTTAATTGCTATGGGCGATTCATAATGAATTGCACTATATGACACCAGTGAGAGTTAGTGTAACAGCCCATAGAAAAATAGGTAATTGGCTAGAAAACTTGTTAGCTTTCTTCTACCTCTTTGATGTCAATAAATTTGCAAAACGCCGAATGTTGACAAAGATATCAGAAAAAATTATTTTCATAAATAATTTTTAAACATGAATCTACTCTAAAATTTGTAACTATTTTCTTTATTTTGCAGACAAAAAATATTCCTAAACACTTGACTTACAAGTCACCCTTATTCAGGAAACCACAAGCAAAGACGCCGTTAAAAATTTTGATTGTTTAAGAACGACAATCCTAGGTTAAAATTTTGCCGAAACCTAGCTTCTTGCATTTTAAAAAAAAAAAACTTCGTGATAGTCAAGGAAAACACTATTGACATGAATAGAGGAGAAAATATATCCATTGCCCATGTCTATTCATGACAAAATCTCGCCTCTACACTTCCGAATTTTTGAAATACATATACATGAAACTACAGCTGAATATTTCCTAAGGACAAAATTCGGCAATTAATTATTTGTTTCGAAAACGTTCGGTAACCACTTCCCAGGCTGGGATAACCAAGACCCCGCGGTGATTAAGAAACTAACGTTGCACTTACACTCGCAGCAAAATTGTATTCTTTTATTTCCTCGGGAATTATTTTTATAAACAAATTTCTTTGACAACAAACTACGTCTGCCAATTTTTAATTGATAATTAAAGTTAAAAAGCTGTGAGTGATTAGTGTTTTAGGGCTGTCACCATCAATTACGCCTACACAGACTGGCTTGGATTCTGTGCGGTCATAAGGAGACCGCACGCATATCTGCAGCTTGCGTTGGAGGTTTCTTTGGGTACTACTGGATAGACTTGGCAGATCCATGCTTTCAACTTCGTTAAATGTGGTTATAAATGTAAATTAACAGTTATACTCATCAAATATAGCTATAAAATGACCACGAACACTTAGTATGTTAGTTAAACCTAGTGATTTGAATCTGATTTCAATAAAATCATTCATCTTACACAAAATGTTTCTTTGCTTTTTACACTCTGTGTTTCATTTATGCACACAATAGACTAAAATTAGGAGTTGAAAGTAATTGACTTCACAGAAATGGCTTACCTTGTTAAGTACGTCATCGTCGCCTGGCAACTGCAACTTCTTACAAATATCCTTCAAATTCTCAATGTCAATATAGCACAATCTGTCTTTGTTGTACTTTAAAAAGAGCTCGTCCATCCGAATAACGTCGCTAAGACCCAGTTTTCTAAACTGCAGCGCCAAATCATCAACCATCTTGTCAACATCGCCTGGCCTGCCAAATACAAAATACGAAAGTAGGGATCTTAGCAAAATCTCCACCCTGGTCCTTGAGCCCAATATCAAAAGAATGCACATTCAAAGCCAAGTACTGATATTGTTCTAGTCTGTGTTCTAGTTAGTTCACATTCTCACATTAGGCGTGTGTCAGCTTCACATGTTTTTAAACATTACATTGCCTCTTTTCGACAAGCAGCCAATGACAGCACCAAATGTTAGGTGTCATATTTGCACGCTGTGGTTCCCGAAAAGTAGCCTACTAGCTCACTTAATTTTACTCGGTAAAACTACCTTGATGAAACTCGAAAGTCGTCATTATAGACTATCCCGAGTGGTACCATTTCTAAATAACCCATCTACCAATAAACTATTTTGGAAGAAAAGACGAAATCAGCAATGGTTGAAGCTCTCAATCAAAGTTGTGAACTATTTTACGGCTTGTATGTAAACTGCATTTAAATTTGGTCTGTTTTTGCATGATATGATGACTGATCAGGTCTTACCAAATTTGTAACATGACTTTAAAGAGGAATGTTATGGATAGCAGACGCAGCAAAGGCGTCCGCAATATCGCAAAGCTACCACCAAAGTAGCGCGAATTTGATGATATATCCATTAACTAGTCAAAGGTTTCCTTCAAAGAACAGATCTGCTTGCTTTATAAGACTACACAAGTTTCTGGGCACCTTTTCCATGGACATAGGAGACACAGGGCATTAGCAATTCACTTACAACTCGCCTATCTACCAAAATCTGTAAAGACTGAGGGGAAATCCAACAACTTACGTTCTTTTTAGATTTGCGGCACCACCTTTCTTGCAGGACCGTGAGTCAGGCACCTTCTTGTCGATGATGTTGAGAGCTACCTTCGCTGAGAGGTTCTCGATCAGGCTGTCTGGGAACTGATCACGATTTGCCTCCATAAACTTGACAACGTATTCATCAGCATCGGTTATTACGAAGCGCGTGCCGAACACGTCGATGATGGAACCGAGCGAGAAGTCCCTCGGGCCGTAGTACTTGGGTGTCTCTGTTGTGCTGCCTGGCTTTGCTATTCTTAAATCATAATGATCAACACCGTAATACAAAGAGGTGACTAGTTGTAACAAAATTTTTTAAATGCTTTTTAGAAGGAATAAACCCGTAAAAATCTTCAGCACAAGATGCCAACTAAAAAATGACACGCAGCATGCGTATAATCTAATCAACCGCACCCTAATTTGGCTGTTCTTATCAAACTGCAAAACCAGAAATATGCGTTTTAATGGTTAAATTTGCTAAAGTAAAAATATTTTACTATTTCAAGCCAAGGACTTACAGATGCTGATTCTTCACTATCGTTTCATCTGGCGTATAACTTAATTTTTACCGATTGCTCGGCAGATGTATTGAATACAACAAAATAGAGAACAGTGAATTCAATCCTAAAAATACACTCCATCGTCTACCATGACCTTGCGCCGTCTCCCGGCTAACGTACGGATGCCACCGCGAAAGAAACTTGCAGACTTCGAGGCAAGCAGGCCATCATCGACGACGACTTTAAGCACATCGCCTTCAACGTTCTGAACTGTTCGTCCACTAAGGCGTGCTGCTGCAATGACCACAGCAAATGGCAGTCGGATGGGTCCAAGTCTGGTGAATATGTAGCGTGTGGAAAAACTTCTCATCGCAGGTTCAAGAGGGTCCTCTGAGTCGTGCGGACAACGTGAGGTGGTCAAACGTTGTCATGCAACAATATGACTTGCTTGCTTCCTTGCCCAGTAAATGGCCTTTTTTGGTCATGTTATTTTCCAATTTTGTTCAATTGTTGGCTATAGCGTTCTGCTATCACCGTCTGACCAGTTTGAAGGAATTCGCAATAAAGTACACCCTTCATGTACCACCAAATACGAAGGAGAACCATCTTGAAGTGGACGTCTTGTTTCGGCGTCGATGTACTGAGTTGCCCAAGATCTATCCACGTCATTTTACGTTTGGAATTTCCGTACAAAACATACTTTTCGTTACTTATCACCATTTTCTACAACAAGCCCTTTTAGGTTTTTGGCGAGGAAGCAGTGAAAGGCATGTGTTCATACGTTGACCTAGGCTGTGTTCAGTCAACACAAGCCGGGCCCAACTTCCAAATTTTATAAGACACAAAGTCAGCACCAACAACACAAGAAATTGATTTCCGTGTTTAAGAAGGATTTTCCTTAATGAAATTGGTATAAAATGCAGTACCGAATGTGGTGTATATCAGTCGCTATCATAAACTCTGCTATTCTAAGAGGCTGCGTAACTCAGTGTTGTGGAACCTTGCGTTCGATCATCTCAAATCCGCAAGAGACGGCGCAAAATATTTCTATTTTAATTATAATTTTAAGCTCAAAGAAAAAATTTGTAAAATACAAGTCATACAGCAAATAGTTTGTGAAAGCCGCGTCTTTGGTAACTGTTAAGACACGAAATCCAAAACCGTCTTTTAAAAATGAATCTGCTGGTTTAATATAAACAATTCGGGTTCGAGTTCAGTCAACACAGATCGATTGGTGACGAAACCTTGACTAACCTTGTTCGCTTGAGGAAGGTGCCACCAGGGAAGCCAGTGTTCTGGATGGGGACCTCCCAGATTTGAACCATGTCATCTGCGAGGCGATAGCTGATAATGAACTTACGCAGATCGTCGTTCGGATGAACGCTGACCTACAAGATAAAAGCGCAAAATGAGATCAGAGGAAGGTTATATGCAACTTTGATTTCAGAAGAAATCATGGCTCTGGAGGTTCGGACGCGGATTACTCCATTAAACTAGATTCAAGCAGTTTTTCAATGCTACTACATAAGTGACATTTGCATGAAACACTACACGTTTCTATTGTACAAAACAACTCTATTTCAATATCTAAGGCCAAAAGAGTCGTGAACACGCGCATACTTTTGGAGCTTGAAAAAGGTCAGTATCTTTACACCAATCTCTCCCTCAAAATGCCCACCGAAAAAGGATTTTGACAGGACACGGTAGAACGTACTAGTTTCGCGCCATAACGCAGTACTTTTGTGGAGTAGTCCACCTGCTTCCCGAAATCGACTTTTGGCGTTTTAGGCAGGAAAGACCTGCAGGAAGCAAGGCTGTCTTCCAAAGATCCAAAACCGTTGTAAAATGGAATTTCCTAAAGCATAAACGAACAAATGCATTTGCAGGATAAATAACAAACAAGTGCACCAAAACATTGAACGCTAGAAATGGCCAAGTACTTCATAGCCACAACCCACCATTTTTTGTGGTTCAGGTTTAACTGGCTCAACATCAATTGGTTTAAAGTCCGTAAGACCAAAGTTCTGGTAATACCAAGCTTTTGTAAAACTATCGCAGTCATAGAGAAGGAATGCTCGGCCATATATCACAATTGATTCGCCGATTCGTAGGTCTTTAGGACTGTAGTATTCTTTGATTTCCGATGCTGAGGGGAAATTAATAATTATGTACTTATTATTTTCAAGTAACATTGAGAAAACAAGTCATCAAGCTCACAGGAAAGAAAATTGCAAATATTTAGGATAACTTACAAGATATTTCCAAACACACGGATGGAAACGTTACAGGGACATCGTCACGATCTTTTGGGAAACGGTGCCTACGAATTAGCAAGGAGCATGGGTCGCGACCGTCATTACGAAGGTGATGTTCTCGCACTTCCATTGTGTCATCATTCAAAAAATACTAAGGAGGAGAGTAGGATAATTGAAGTTTAATCAAATTGCATTCAAGCGTGTAAAGATTCACCTACAAGAATGGAACACCTTCTGAGATCCCCAAATAGTTCTTTTCTGTCATCCCAGACAGCGTAGAAACGCAGGACCTGCCTGTCGAGCTCACAAAACTGACGTCGGGAGTCAAACGTAGACTTTGTTATATTCCCACGCACCTCATCACGTCTAGCACGGAATTCCAGGTAGGGGTCGGTTGGGATAGACTCGGGTTCATTCACTTCAATACCCTCACTTTCGAAGAAATTCTAAATATGCCAGACCTGTTTAATCACCGGCTAAATTTAACACCTCACACTAAATATTAAAACTTTACTTTCAAACATGAATACCAAAAAATCCCAGAAGCTTGTTAAATTTCAGGTTATCTATTAAAAGCTTATCGTGTTTTATTATAAAAAAAGAATATTGGTTCCCTGCCACAAGGATGGAGAAAAGAATAGTGTATGTATTAAAACAAGAATAAAAGGGAAGACGGAAATGCGAAACTACCAATCAATTACCAAATTTGCACCATATAAATTGTCTCAGGAACTATAATAGCACACAATTCGGATAGGAAAAATGGTTGTCATACTTGAATATATAAACCCTCAATTGGAATTAATAGAATTTTCGAGACCTTCAAATAAATAAAAAGGTAAGATCAACCTTAGTGCCTCTGGTACTAAATAAGTTGCACAATACAAAAAATTATTCAGTTTATCATCTGAAGCATTTTACGTTTCTTCGAAGACAACGCAAAACCCAAACTCCGGTTTATCTAGATAACATGCATTTATGTTAATAGAGATTAGTAGTTACCCGCGTAAATTCATCGCAGTTTGTCACACGGTAAACTCTCCCGTAGATAGTTATGCTAAGACCAATGTTCAAGTCCTTCCAGGAGTAATATTCACCACAATCATTCTTTGGAATTCTTTGGCGCTTAAGTAGCCAGCCTAAAGTTAACAGAGTTTGCTGAATCGGTAAAGGTTAAATTAAGAGGATCCGAACGACGTTACAGAGCATCAAACTAAGATCATGAAATCCAAGCACTATATAAGTTAGGATTACTTATAAAAATAGACTGTAAAAGAGTAAGGATTACAATAGAACATATTTACTTTTCTTCAAAATACACAGACCGCATATTTATATAACGCTTTTGGACTAATTTACATTTTATAGAGGTTAATGACGAGAAAATTCTGAATATTATCAACAATATTTTCTACGAAATTACCATCTCAGACGAAAACGAATCATATGCAGGTAAATCTTGTAATATATAATGACACTTCAGAATGGCATATTTAGGATTCCAAATAACACAAGATGCGGCGGTTAGGCACGTAAGCTACCATAATCAATTACCTTGACTTAGGCCACTATTTGCTTGCATTGGTTCGTAAATATGCATAGTGTCATCTTCCAAGTAGTAGTAAATAATGACATTTCGGACTCTATAATGCTCGTTCTGTGATTCTGTAACGGATTCCTTGAAGTATGCATAAAACCGCAAAACTTTTTTATCAAGGGCCACATGTCCAGGCACAAATTCTGGAACTGGAGTCTGTTTATTTCGACCACAAGATAGTGTTGGATGAAAATTAGCCAATTCATCAAGTTCACTTTCAGTCAGTTGGTTGACTTTGAGGGGATAACCACCAATGCCAACGCTAGGAAATGGATCAGGCATGAAGTAACCATTTTTGTAGTCTAAAGTGTGCGACCTGTGAAAACGAGTTTTCTAGAAAAACTTAATTATAAAGATAATCATTACTGATGGGTCCACAAAGTTAAAACCAGGTAAACATGGAAGCCTCTCCATTTTGTAGTGGTTCCGAAAAGTCTTCGCGACAAATAAATTTTGCCGAAAATAACTAAAACAAAATTCGTATGGTAATATTTTACATGAGATACAAATTATGGTTATGTATTTTATTATGTGTTGGAATATTTCAACGTTATTTTATTTCAGGTTGCTAAATTATGAAAGCTCGCGGCAAAAAATCGCTTATTTGTTGACAGCATTACTAACATTTTAATCAATTAAAATGAATCTATCAACGTAAATGGTTCAGTGCTATACAAATAACAATGTTTCTGTAGTGTTCTCATATTTTGGATTTGCGAAAACAATGGTTGGCATGAATCAAGGTGCACTGGATGGAATAATAATTGTTTTTTTTAATTATAAGGAGTTAGGAGATTGTAAAGGACTGTAAGCGATCGCAAGTAAGTGAAGCTTGATTATAGGGCATTGATTTTAATGACCCACGATGCTGTTCATCGGTCACTATTTTATTCGTCTGTTAATAAAGTTTGCTCTGTCGCACCCAAGCACAAGTGGCCGGCGTGACGCTTAAAAACGTTCGTTTCCGTAGTGGTCTGTCTTGTCTCTGTTATTGAATTTTTTAAAGCGGATGATTAACGGTGTCGCAGAGTAGGGCAATCGTGCAACTACATTTGCTAACCCCAACTGGAGAAAGTCCTGCAAATTTCAGATGTGTACCTTGATTTGACTATTGGATAATAAAAGATATGTGAAAAACGACTTTATTTGCAAGGACGCCAAAAAGAATTAGTCTAATGCAAAAATAAAAATATGCCTTCAAATTTTTCTTACGACATGCATAGGTATTGCAATTAACTTTAAGTTTTCTGCACTTAATTTACCTACAACATTACAAATGCCATATACTTTGTGAAAATATCATTCCCAGAACATAGATGGAATGCAGTTGTAGGTCTGGTAAAAAGGGCAGTGTGAAGGGATTAATGACTGCATGATTAGTATTTCTAATGCAGGTTGACAAGGTATTTGTGGATGACATGCTGAGTAACCGGCATAAGAAGTAGAGAATATACATGAATCAGGCAATGAATGATATGAGGTGGACTTAAAGCAAACCAGGCTGGAGCGCTTGCTAAGATGCCTCATCACATGATCGTTTCCAAATAGGATTAAATTTTTGATTCTTAACAGTAATTTTGGCCTTTCTTATGTACTTGTTAGCGATTCCAATTAAATCACAAGTGCATTATTTGGACAGATTTGGTTATACTTAAAATCCTAATTTCGTACATGTACAATGTGTAGAATTTAAAGAAGGAAGATTGCTTAAGTTACTCTCGATATGTTAATTTTAATCATGACAGAAGTCAATTTCTTCGTTTGTTTTCTAAAAGAAATAGTCATAATTTAAATTAAAAATTCATTGTGTTGGCTGGATCAAAAAGTCATTCCGAAATGCTACCTCTGAATTCAAATTTCGTAGACAAATGTTAAATGCAGTTGCTTTTTTGGAAGTACCTAAGCTACTAATCATGTTCAGATTTTAACGCCGGACTAAAAATAACGAAGTCCGAAGTAAAAATAAGGCAATCTTTTGGGACATATTAGAGCTGCGTTTTGTGAGCAAGTACGCTCTTTTGAAACCATTAATTTCATCTGTTCACTTGTTTGTCTACGTAAAAATACTCGTACTTAGCCATGTAATATGTTTTTTTAATGCTGACGTGTCTAACTATTCACCATACCTTCTCTTTTGGCAATACACGCATCAGACACTACACTATCCTACCCTATTATGTATTAAGTACTCTGATCACGCGTCTAAAATGTATAATAAATGATTTTCAGTCGTCGTTTCTATCTTATTCCATTTACTTTTAAAACTCAATTCTTATTTCTACGCTTCCGCATTGCTAAGGTGAATGTCCCCGTGCCTAGAATCACACGTTAAATCTAAAATTTGCTTCATTTTTCTCATTAATCACCTTATTGTGGTCTGCATTAGTGCTTAATAACGTTTATTAAGCAGTGGAAAGAATAACTTTTTTTAAAATAATCTTGACAAATGCAAACTCTAGAAAGACCATTTTACAATTAACAATAAGCCACAATAGGGGCTTATTGAGTGCACTTTTGATAGTTCTTCCCTTTAATGTGTTTTTTAAAATCTCTTTCTCATTGAGACCTACTTTTAGACGACCACATATATTCAACTATCTTGCAATCCAGAAAACACACATAACTGTGCGGGACCCGAATTAAGGACCGGTAGCAAAGCATATAAATTAAACTAAATACCTAAACGGACACCTTTACGTCATGAATTTTTGTTTTTAGGCTCCGTGTTATAAATTGGTTTAGTATAATTCTCAAGGCAATCATTAGGAAAAAATAGCTTAAGCCCACGACTTGACAAGGGATTTATTGACCACAGATCTCGCTTTTGAAATATCAAAATTCTACCCATTGTGGTTTAGTTAATAATAAAAAATAAACCATACATTTCGAAAAAAACTAATGATCAAGGCTTTACAGAATTTAATAGTTTTCTTCGTAAACGAACATCACAGAGGATATGATATAGTGGTGGATTTCTAAGCTTAAGATTGAATATCAACTTCGCGCATACGCAATTGGGTCTTCGTTGCCACTGTCACCAAGGTCTTCAATAACTTCAAATCCGATTCGGGCATCACCACTTGGTACACTCATTTTCTGGTAACCACCCGGTTGGGAGTAAATGCGAGAGGCAGATGTCGAAGCTATTTTCTGTATTTCGTCGTCAATGTTTCTGTCGTCATCGTCTTGAACTTCATCGTCATTGTCCACCATATTCTGCTGTTCAATTAGCCGTGCCTTTATTATTTTTGCATTAACTTTAAGGTAGAACACAAGCATGGTGAAAAAGCTGGCGATTGTGAAGATCAGGCTGATGATTGCAACTGCGAAGGCCCACGAGAGTTTATTGAATCGTGGATAGGGAACCCACCTACTGTCATAACTACCATAGGTGAAGCCAAGTAAGGTGCCCAGTAAGGATATCCCTAAAAGTACAAAAATAACATATCTTAGTGTGGTTGTAAAAATTTTAGAACCAAATAAACTATGAAGTAATAAAAGATAAAAAAAAGCAAAACAAGTAATCGTCATCACATAAATGTACGAGGTTATCTGAGAAATAGCAAGTATATGCAATTTTTATAAAGTCATATAATTGTTATCATTTTTTATAAAAGCGATAAAAATGGCTGCATTAACTCTGAATCTTTAAGGAAACTTTTTACCCAAACTTTGGCATCTTTGACTTCAACGAATTGAGGGGTCTGAAAAGTCAGACAGTTCATTTTTGTGTAAGTTATGGAACCTTGACAGCGGGACTAAATGTGCTTGCACTTATAGAAGCCCTTAATAACCTTAAATTGTTGGTCGACAAAAATGTGTTTCATGCATTTTGTCAATATTATGAGAGTTTATATATGTACAATGGCGTTCTACACGAAAATATTTATAAAATAAATTGTGAACCTATAGACGTACCTACTATTAGCATAAAAAAAAGGTTTTTCGTATTAAGTTTTAGTGCCGCTACACGCTGCGTTTGCAAGCGGTTAAGTTCCACATCTAAGGGATCTGCCACAACAATTAGGCCAACACTTCACTGAGACTAATTACTTGTACAAAAACATATGCGACACGATTTTCTACTGCTTCCCTGCTTAACGCAACAATAACACCAATTTTAGAAAAAAAACTATTACCGTGTGAATATTACTAAAAGGTAGTAGATATAACAAAATAACGGGTTCTGATGCTGGCGCGTTGCTTTTTAACAAATATTACACAAAATCACAGTGAGGAATTCCTTTGACGTAAGAAGAAATTATGATTTAAGTTATTTAATGGGCAAAACGTTGTAAGAAACAGAAAAGTAAACTTTTGCGAGAAAGGATGTACTTAACCCAATTTACATACAAGAAATTTTGACATTATTTGCAGCGAAACGGTATTTTTCTCATGTGTGTGCAAATATAACCATTCACATTATTGCTTTTTAATCAAAAAAACGAGATTAAAAACCAATAAATATGCTATAGATCCATTTCAGTTAACATTAGCCAGACTCCTACATTTGGACTGAGCGTGCTAATGCATATAGGGATAAAATTCAACAACTGTTCAATCGCAAAAATCTTTTGTATCCTTACTTACCCGCAATGAAATGTCCTGACATCAACCACTTCGTTAAATGAAGGCTTTCAATGGCAACGCGTCCGGTAGCCTGACACACCAGAAAAAACAAAACTAGGCCATGGCACAATATTCCGATTGAAGCAATAACCTGAACAACATACAACCAAACTTGACTCGTTAATAAAGAGGACTCCTACTTGGATTCAGCCATTCTCTTATTGAGTCGTATTCTACGTAATAAATGTAAAAGCAGCCGTAGTATGCTTTGTCATATTGGTTAGGACGCATATAGCCATCGAAACATGCTGTCCATAAACCGATACGGTTAAAAAGAGCATATGCCCCAGATCGGGCTTCAATCCAATATGGGCTTACAAACGCAATAAAGTTGAGGCAAGCTGCCAAGAGTGAAAAGGCAAGAAATGTTATAAATAAACACCGGTTTTCTGCATCTGACACATTGATATCAAAGGATGCCATATTACGATTCAAAACAATAAACGAACTTCAAATTCCACAAGTTTAGTTGCCCAGATTTAGAATATTGTGAAGGCAGATTACATAAAACTACACATGCTACACATAAGTCAAGAATTTAAAAGGTCCTTGATAAGGAGGTAAAGATCTCCAGGGAGGGGCTTCGGCGAACGAGAAATGCGATCAAAAATGAAAGCTTAAAAATATAAATAGATATGTATAAATTTAAACACATTCAAGGGCAGGCAAGCATGAATTTACCAAAAAGATACTAGTATATGAACAAAAATTAAAAGGTATTTCTTGCATTTCAGAGCTTGTGAAATTATGCCAATTAGGAAAAGATTTTTAATTCAGCAAATCGCAATTGTCCACATCTATGTTTTGTGAACCTACAACCTGCGAACGCTCAGTTTCTTATTTTGTCGCTTTTTCGACAACAGCTTTTTCTTGTAGGTAATTTCACGATTTATGGACCAGTTTGCTGTAATCTTCATTGAATGGGACTTATACAGTTGTCATTCTGCTTAATATTTAGCAAACAATCACTAGAAGTTGTGAATCCGGTAGATATGCGTAAGTTCAAATTTTGTTAAAAGTTAAAATATAACTACCTTATATTCAAATATTGATAAGTATGAAAATTTGAATCTGAAAAGAATTATTAATTTAGACGATTTTAATTACTCGTATGTTAACGTAAGTTTTACAGTTTTAAATTAAAGGTATATAAGCATTTTTGAGTTGACATATTAAAAAATTCTTGAAAGTTCGATCAATGCGTAACAGCTAATTTTGCTTAATTAAATTCCTAGCAACTTGATTGCTGCAACATATTCAAAGGAGCCCAATAAAAATGCTAACGCGCCATTTCGCAATAACACACTCCGATGTTCTGATGCAAAACATTAATTGCGGTATACTTGTTTCTGCATTCGGGCTATATACCGCGGACTATAAATTTTGGTATTACGAACCCTACAACTGTTAACAGATTTTAGTTTCATTTTACTTGATGCCAATAATCATTTCTGCATACAAGATATTAAGGTATGTTGGTAATCATTTTCATAAAACAGCATTTTCTTCGACCTGTCATCTGCAATTTGAAAATTAATATTACGAAAATGCTAATTTAGGCCAATTTTGCAACTTTAAGCGTTTTTCTTAGTTCTTTTCTTAGTTTTATTTTGTTGCATCACTGAATGACTGATGTTCTTCTAGTGGTCGTCTACCTGCAAAATATTTTATTGATATCTTTCAAGGTAGCAAGTAATTCATTAACTTTTTATACGTTTAATTAATAAATTTATTGAAACAGTTAAAGTAGCCGAGTTTAGCACTACCTTAAAACCTCTATTTAACATCTGGTAACAACCAGAGATTTGAGAAGACTTAAGAGTCGACACAAAACACAACCGTTTATCAACGTCACGTAAGTAAAGTCGGATAAAGTAACTAATTTTTGTGTACATATTAATACGCGTGCGTAACAGGCGACTGCTAACAAGAGCCAAAAACAAAGAAGGTGAGTCATTGATACAATCGGGCAAGTATGCACGCATCACTCACTCTTGGTGGCTGTCTGTCCACTACAGTTCATTCACGAAAAAACGATTGATTAATGTTCGCTCACGATTGATAATTGTGCTGGCTTGTTGCGCGCCACAGATCTTCCTCTTATTAAAACGAATTAGCGCACATTTTATTCCAACTGGAATTCTGAAGGGTGAGTTGCAAGTATTGTGCAGTCGACTCGCGGTGCTCTAGAAGAGTTTAGAGCCTGGAAACTAGCACTTGAGGGTCGAGAACCAAAGTTGATTGAGCGAAATTGAAACTAAAATGCGACAAACTAGGCGAGATTCGAAAAAAATGGAGGTAGATTGTGTTTGGGACAGACAATGGTCAGGATATGAGAACAAAATGGAGGTCAGGCAGTGTAACGATCAGGTCAATGAACGCGTCTACCATAAAGTGTGGTGGCAATCGGTTCTTTATTGTTAGGAGGGATAGGAGTTAACTGCACCTCGGGTTTGTTGCTTAGCGGCGTCTCCGCGTCAAGGAATGCTGGTTTGATGGGGTCAATAGGTATGGCGTATTCTTTTCCATTTCGTTCGACGATGAAAATCTTTTCTCGTCTGAGTATTCTGAAAGTTCCACCGTGAGTGGGTTGGAGTGAACGACGAATGGCATCGTGTTTGATGAAAACATAAGTTCAGGAGGACAGTGTTCTTGAGATGTGGCAATAAATAGAGGATGAGCGAGGTTAAGTTGATATCAGTTTCCTCATTGCCTCCCAAAAAGCGTCAACGTAGCTGTCTGTGTCCGGCCATAACTGTGGGGATGTCACCATGAAAAATTGCTTAGGTTCTCTCACTGTTGTTACAAAAACCATTTCTGCAGAGGAACAAACCAAATCTTCCATTACGGCTAATCGAATACCGAGTAGCACGAGGAGTAACACATTCCACCCACGAAGCGGGTCACTGTGAGTAGTTAAAACGGATTTCAGTTGACGGTAAAACGTTCTACCGAGCCATTTGACTGAGAGTGGCCGGTGGTCGTTCAAATACGATTCGTCTCCAGAATTCGTGCAAGATCTTGGAGCAGGCTTGATTCAAACTGAATTCCTTGATCTGTGGCGATGGCGGAGGGGAATCCAAATAAGGTAACTCATCTGTACATGAATGTTTTAGCTAAGTTTTTGGTTTCAATGTCTTGCATTGGAATAGCACCCTGCCACTGGACAAAACGGTCAACGCAAGACAAAAGGTAATAGAAACCTCAAATGGTGCAGTAAGGGTCAAACAATGTCAACGCGTGCGTAATCAAAACGTTAAAGTGTTCAACAGGGGTTTTGCTGTGTTTGTCCACCATCGATATTTGACAGCTCACACAATTTTTAGTCCACTGTAAAACATTGCAATTCATGGCAGGCCAAGCATAACGCTGACCAGGATGAACAAGATTGTCAAGGGCTTTGAACACGACGTCGCCCACCGGTATAAATGTCGCAGACCCCTGTACGTAGGGCTGAAGGTAGAGTAACTTTGACTAGCTTTATGACTGCATTTTGTCTTCACAACTCTTACATTTCTTTATTAGACTGCTGACCGATTACCATATCCTCGAAATCCACATGTTATTCTGTATGTACAGCGTCAACGTGCGAATGACAGTGCATTGTCTACCGTATTGTCCTTGCCTTAGATGTGAAGAATGTTACTTGAAAACGGTAAAACGTATTCCAAGTGTCTAGATTCCCTTAGTGACAAACTATCCGAACTTTAACGGCTTGCAAAGGTCAGCAGTTTATGATCGGTGTGGATCGTGAATTGCCGACCCTCATGAAGATACGTGAAGTGCTTGATCGTCAGGTAGACACATAGAACCTCACAAACGAATGTGCTGCAACGTATTTGGGCTTCATTGAACTTGGCCTAAAAATTAGCCTGTGGCTGAGCTAATCCGCTGACGGTTTGCTATAAGACAGTTCCAGCTGCCGAAGGGAACGCATCGGTTAATAGAGATAGAGGGGCATCTGATCATCGATAGAAGAGTGTAGTTGTCAATGCCAAAGCCTCCTTTGCGGCCGTAAAAGCTTCACGTGCCTCGTCGGTTTTGGTTTGTGTTGGGGATCCACGATTCCCCAAGACTGCTTTCTGATGCTATTTACAGTTATTCACTAACATTTGTTTTGCTACACTTTTTATCAAGTCAAGGTCAACCTGACTTGAATTTGTTCGACTTCCGGACTGCACACCGCACGTGGCTGACGTGAATACAGCTCTCTACACGAGCTCTGGTCTTGTTCTGGTATTAGCCTGGGAAGGTCGGTTCTAGCTTTCAGCATGGGATCTGGTACCGTTATTTGAGTGGTCTTCTCTATTGTTACGGGCAAACGTAACAGTTTGATTTTTAGAGCAATCTTTAAACAAATTGGCTAGAGACGGAAGGGTATGAACTGCATTGAGTAGAAATCAGTGGTGGAAATTGATCATGCTCAAGAAACGTCGAATTTGCTTGATGGACCTTGGTTCCGGGTATTCTCGAATCTCTTTTATCTTAATGTCGCTTGGCCTTAAATTTGCATCGGAGACGGTGTGTCCTAGGAATTCAAGCTCTGAAACTTCAAAAGCACACTCTGATGCATTACTAATCAAACCATATTCGTTAAGGCGTTAAAGGACAATGTACATGTGTTTCAGATGCTCCTCTTAATTTTCACTGGCTACCACAACTTCGTCGACATACAAAAAGGCAAAATCTAAACCAAATGCTACTTTGTGGATGGAATGTTAAAATGTTTGAGCTGCATTTTGTAGGCCGAAAGGCATTCGCACGAACTCGAACAAACCGAATGGTATAGGAATAGTCGTCGTAAGGATATCAGATGTGTCGACATGGATCTGATAATAGGCTCGCTCCAAACCTAAACTAAAAACACAAATTTTTTGTGTAGATTTGACGAATAATCATGCAGATTTGGTATTAATTAGCGATCAGGAATTGTTACTGCGTTTAAAGCACGCTAATCACCGCATGGCCGCCATTCATAAATAGCTTTTTTCGGAATCATATTCATCGCAGATGACCAGTCACTCTCTGATTGTCGGAATATGCCAAGATGCCGTTGAATATCTGGTTGGGAAGAATCGGCGTACTCAAACATTAAAGGGGCGATCATTTGTCAAAATTTTGTGCATGACATTTGTCCGGACCTCGATTTGCTGGTGAGTTGGGATAATTGGATCCGGGTATTTTTGCAATAAGGCCAAGTAGGGTCCATTTTCAACTTGTAATGATGTAATCTAAGAAATGGCTAGCGTATTTTGCGCAGAACACCGTGTGATTAGGGTTGTTAGGGGATCTTTTAGATGCCTGTTCCTAAGGTCGAGAAGGAGACCAAAGTGGTTGAGAAAATCTGTACCAATGATTGGATGGGTCCCGCAGCGATGGTGAAGACCCAACGAGACTGGCGTCGCAGTCCTAAGGCAAGCCTGATAGATCTCTGCCCGTTGGTGAGGATAGGCAAACCACTGGCGGCGGAGAAAACAGAGAAGGGTTTATAGGACCGCTTTTCGGATCGCGTTGGAGGGACAACGGATATGTTGGCTCCTGAGTCGATCAGGAATAGCATACCGGTTGACTTGTCAAGTAAAGAAAGATGGCTGTTCAGACGCCCATTAGCAGTTGATACCACTACTGTCGGGCATTCTCCTTTCCCGATCGTGCAAGCGAGTCCAAAACAGTGTGCCTACACGTTGCTTACGCTGTCGGGCAGCGCGGCCGAAGGTTGCATGATACAAACACAAACCTCGGGACGACGAGCGTGAATAAAAGCTTTAGCGAGAATGTGAGCGGCGCCGTCTAAATGAGGTGCTGTATCTTTTCCCTTGTGAACCGTCTACTGCCAAGGCTGTGCTGGCTTGCTGCTCGCCACAGAGTCGTAAGCCATCTCAGGGTTTGATGCCTGTAGTTCCGAAGCTCAGGCAAAGCTAGACGTCAGTCTAAATCATTCTCTTTTGTTTATTAAAAAGGCATTCTGACCTAACTTGTTCTAAATTATTTTAGGTGATGCAATCAACAGCTCTTTTAACTTTTTTAAACAGCTGTAGTGCTTTGTGCATGTTTTACTAAGATTCTATAAACCCAAACATTCGTAAAATGTTTATTTTTTTGAAAGAGAATAAATAAAAAATACCAAGGTTTGTAAACGGTTTTAAAAAGATTGTAATTTTTCTTAATATTGTGGTTGGTTTAATTTGTTGCTGTGCTCTACTACTCTAGCATTCAAGGTCACGTCGCGGAATTGAAAAATCTACAACTGGTGCGTTCTTGTTCAATTTTTAATTGATTTATAGTTTTTGGTACTTTGGTATTAGTAATTATAAATGAACAATGTACGTTTGCTAAATGTTAAAATGCTATTGGTAGTTTGAAGCTTCAGAGCATCTATCTAGTTATTTCCAAGAATAATGGCTTTTTCGATTCCACTGTCATATTGTCCTAAAATTGAAGAAATGACATTTTTGATTTTCAGCAACAATTTAGGGTAAATACTGTAAATGAAATTCGTTAGATGTTGGAATGAAAAGTAACATGTGTTGATTAACAGTGAAACAATCAATGAAGCAAGTTAAAGTACAGTTAACGACTGCTTTTTAGTGCGTTATTCGTGTCAGCTAAAAACAAAGAAAATATTTACAGAATGGTTACAAACCCGTGCAATAATGTCCATTTAACCTATCGTCGTTTTGGTAATAAAGGGGATACGTGGTGGAACATTGTTTTTAATGGATGGTAAACTTGCTCTATTCTTATTAATTTCAATATCGGGATGTTAAGTTTGAACTGCCTTAATTTACCTATATAAATTTAGTACAAACATCGTAATTAACAGTGCTTTTGGAGTTTCTTCAAGCTAAATGTCAAGATAATGTTTTTGAGATAACTTTCGTCCTGAACTTAAAATATTTGCAAATTAGGAGTGATCGGGAGACATGCATATTAAAGCAATATTTTGATGAAGATGCGGGACGGAATAAGATAAAACATTTGTTGGTAGTCAGGACAAAATTTTGGGGCGTCATGTAAGAAGACGCTGATTTAAAATGATGCAGTTAAAGGTGCAGTTTGACAATAACAGCAATTTGCCTCATTTTCCTTTACAGAAATGTGGCGCACTTATATATTTTTTGAATTATATACTTTTATAGTTTTTGGTCACATTGTTAGATCCTTGTTACGCCTAATTTATAAGTGCCACAGTAAAATTCGCAATGTGCCTGAGTCATCGTTAAAGATAAACCTATCCTGAATTATCCTTGATTGTGGAATCGAGTAAAGTGTCTTATAAACTGATTTTAAAACTCTTTTTAGTAAAATCACTATCATACTTGGTCGATTACACCAGTTTGACTCATTGAATAGTAATAATTAAAAAAATTTGCAATTTAGCGTGGATAGCTTAGAAATCAAATTAATTTTCCAAATAATTTGTCCTTAGCGACATTACATGACTGGCAAAAAAGTGTTCTCTTTAACATACATTGGTTTTAATTCAAAAGCATATTACCTCACACCAATAAAAAAATTATCGGACTTCTAGCCACTGGATGTTAGCACATTAAATACATGGTTTGATAACTCGACTTCGTTAAGAGATAAGGAACATACAATATTTTGGCACAGATTATTTCAGTGGAATCATGAATTTGTCGCGTAAAAAAGGCCTTAAATCTGACACAAGTCTGATGGAATGTGTAATTATACTTCGAAACACTCGAAGTTGCATTGTTCTTTTTAAAACGTTCCCACACTCTCTGGAGCGCAGCAGTCGGGCTATCCGGTGGCAACCTTTAGGTGCTTCACGGCTATTTTAAGCCAGACTGCATTCATGTGTGCGGAATATTCCGTGAATTTGCTTGACTATAATTAAGTCTATTCGACGTGTGACTTGGCCTTTAACGTTTTTCTACTGTGTGTAATCATCCATAGAACTTCTACTTGACTTGTGCACAATATCAATGGCGTAACAAAAGCGGTTTGAATTCGTTCCAACTTATAAGGTTTCAGCTTCTACCTAGGTAAATTTTGTGTACACAAATAGGAATCACCTTAACATTGGAAACGGTTGCTAAATATGAACCTATTCAGAAATGTTGTTGTTTTAAAATAAGGAGCCGAGATCCTAAATAAGCCCGTAATGGATTGATGTAGTGTTTAATTTGGTTATATTTCAGATGAGTACGTTAATTCAAAATCCCCCCTTTGCTGACGCATTCGGCCTAGTCGAGAAAGCACTGAAAACAGTGGATTCGATCAGGGCAAAGGCAAAAGAAAAAGGGCATCTGGGCATACGGCGTAAATCAATTGCCTGTGAAAACCATTTTAATGATGCCTGTGTAAGACTACAACGGCTACGTGACCAACTAACTTGTGTCGGTGCAGTGATGGCTTCTGACGTTAAATATCAGACTTATTCGGAGTACTTGCAATACGCTTCAAAAAGCCTAACTTCCGAAATGAATGAATTTGTTGAATACATTAAAGGAAAGAAAAAAGATTACAGTCGTCAACAGTTATGTCATTACACATCACTATTTCACCATTTGTAAGTTTTCGCATTGTCCTACCTAAGTTTATTTAGTTCATGTTCAGACTTCATACACTGGTAAAAAAGGAAACACCAAAAATGTCTAATAGAGAAGTTAAATTTTGTCAGTTGTACTTTTTCAATTTAACAAGGAGTGCGTTGAGTATCTTGTGGTAAAAGGAACACTTTACTCGGACTTGAAGGGCATTTTAACATGTTCACCAAAAGAAGTGGAAAAAATTGTTAGCAATGGGGGGCTGCTTATGTATTGTGCGCAGACACGGTTGGCAATGATTGCTATCAGAATGCAAATGTGACTTGACAAGCCGTTATTTTGAAAACCAGATGGTAAAGGTAAATGCACAAGCAGTTAAAATTGACTAGCTGATTCTAATATTTCATGCATTAAATGGGCTCGGTGCTTTGTCGACTGCCAGTCTTATTTAGTTTGCCAGCACATTACGCGAAAGCATAATTGCAACTCTTAACATTTCAAGCGACTATTGGCACGATTTACGCATGCAGCTCCTTTAAACAGCCTGAAGAGTAGCAGCATTCTAAATACTGAGTATCAATCAATAATTAAAAAAAACAATTAGTGATTGTGTGTATGATTAATTAGATCGTGGCCTGCTTGGCATAAAAAAACTGACCAGTGTATGAAATATTGGGCAGATATTTGTTAAATGAATGACTCCAGGATTTCTTTTCTGCCTTCATCTGTGCTGTTGATGTTTAGGGCAGAAGAGATTAAGTATCTATTTCCTGGCGGAGCATTTTCACTAAATCAGACTTTTGGTAAGAACAGCGTTCAGATGTGGTGGAACGAAAACTTTAACTCACGGTGAGTTGTAACTAGGTGACTCAGAGATGTGCCAAGAGTTTCTACAACTCGTTATCTTTGAGAGAATTGCCATAATTTCAATTTGCATAAAGGCAGTGGAGGTTTTATTCAAATTTGTACCCTCCATGATCACGCTAATTGCTGTCGCATGTGCACGTCTAGAGTGGTGGTTGGCCGTGATGACTTTTCGGTCAGAATACTGAAAGCATTTCCCGTCTTGAGAGAAAACATTGAGGCCTTTATGGATAGCCTCTGTTTTTCGTCACCCAAATACGTTTCAAAGTACGACTTGGATATTTTTACCAGGTACGTATCCCAACAGTTTGCTACTTTACCCTGCTCCTTGGTTGAACTCTATTGTGTATATTCTCTTTTCATTACTATTCCCTAAAAGACTGTTTTGGCCATGGTCCCACCTTGTGCAAGTTTGGACTAGTCTGGTTGGTCATCCTGGCTACCAGAAAAACGGGACTTTCAACACTACTATTGAGGCCCTCAACGAGCACCGAATGACCCCTGGAAGGTGAGCTACTGCCAAGCTTGAAATCAAGTGCCCTAAACTGCTAAGCGCACAGGTTCTAGCTGACGTCACGATCAAATTTTAGATGGTAGTCTTCGGACTTTTGTCGTATTCAACTACGCGATTTTTCGGCCTGTTAATCCTGCCTTTCTTTATGCGATGTTTTTGTAACAATCAGGAAGAATGTTTTGCCCCGACGTAACTTACGTATGGCCATGCAGCTTTGCCTTAGCTGAGGTCTTAAGGATGTCCTTTTCTGGGGTGGATACCCTTAATTAGTGCCTTTCAACTAACCTTGCGGGAGAACATCGAACCAACTTAACATTTATTCGTGTCATCCTAACGAAAACAGTCAATTAGTAGTACCTGCAAGCAAGAAGTGAGCTTGGGATAGAAATGTGCTGGGGAGGCGTCATGGCGGATGGACCATGAAATGTGAAAAAGCTCTCTGCGTGAGATTTGGAGCAGTGAAGCAATAGCGTCAGATCAAAATAACACGAAAACTGTTGTAGGATCAAATTCATACTCTTAAAATGGCTTTTTATTACTGTTTCAGCTATGTTTTTCGCATTAGCATGAGTTGCAACGGATACTGGTCCATCGGCTACGTTGCATCAGATGGCAAAATTGTTCAAGTCCTGTGCTTCGGATTGCCCATGATCGACTACCTCTACTACGGGAAACAACAAGGCCTGTATGATTATCATTTTGTTCATGCCGAAACACGAAGAGATGACTATACCCACTGAATACAAAATACATGTGATGATAACGAATGCCAAACGGCTGCGCCGCTTCTTTAGAGGGATGAGTAGTCAGCTAGAGTGCACTCGTTTAGTAAACGTGGTAGAAAATTGTTCTCCATTGGAAACTCGAATGTACAAGAAATGCAATTCCTCGGCTCGTCTTCTGACTTGAAGTGCCTTGCTGCCCTTAGTAGTCGCAACAGAGATTGACGAGTCCCTAAACACAGAGGCTCCGAGGGAGGTTCTATTTGGCATCTCTGACCGAATGTCAAGGTTAAGAAGTTATGCACTACCAAAATTCACCTTCGCAAGTCGATTCTTACTTTACTGCTTAGTCATTATTTCAGATGTGTGTAATTGCCCCCTCTTTTTAAATTAAGCTGTCACTGAAGGCAAGACTGTCCTCCAACATCTTGCTCTTTAAATTGTGTAATACTCTATACTACTAATTAATTATTTAGTTACAAGTTCCCAAATGGTAAAGATTGGGAGGATGACCTATCTGCCGTGTCCAACTTGAAGACAAGAGTAACTGTCTGCGAATACGACAACGACAATACCGACTCAATAACCTGCAAAATTTGTGGAGTCGATCTAAATGACATACAACTGGAGCCTTGTGGCCACTTCGTATGCAAACAGTGCTGCAAGAAAATGCAGGTGAATTCCTCAGGCTTTTTTATCCGTGTTTTTTTCCAAAATGACCAACTTTTTTGTTACCAAAGGTAGTCGTTCAGGTTTATAGCCCAGTCAACACTGAAAAGGAAAACAGAAAAGTCGACAGCATCTCTGTGCAGCCTCTGTTTAGCGTTAGGCAGTGCTACAGGTTTTCTAACTGTAGAAGAAACAGAGAATGACTTCTAGCAAATCAGGTGCACGTTTTCTTGTCCAATGTCCCTGGGCCGCTTACTTGTCAACCTTGTGATTTCGCTCTGATCGAACCTCTGCTTCTTATCAACATAGAAATTCACTAAGACATTGGTGACATTACTAACAAGAGCTCAACCACTCAAAGGGCCCAGAAGTTCAAAATAATTGGTTATCTGAAGGTGTAGGTATGATGCTATTCATAGTTCATCGGACATCATTTTCCAATCATGCTGCAGCATGCCTTAACGAATTATCTAACGTACATACAGTAATACTGTGGAAAGGTGAGAGACTACTCCTTTTCGATATACCCATTCTAACTGTTTTCCATTGCTTCTATTTCTCGTTCCTTTAGTTGTTGACGGTTGAGAGAATTGGTTGATGTATATAACACCTTTAAATTCTCACCTAATTCACTGTGTGATACTTTCTGAATCGATGCGACATTCGATGTGCTTTGTGCTGACTCATTTCGCCTTGACCACGATAGTGTTTAGTCGCCGTTATTTTCAATAATTCAGTTTGTGTCTCATCTAATGGTTTTGTTTAAAAAAGACATGACTGTGCTGTTTGAAAAGTGTTCAAAGAATGTTAAAATCAGTTCGTTTAGAAGCAAAGCATTGCCCCTCATAACAAGGTTGACGGCGATTCGACAAATTACGTCCTTAACATGATCATGATCAATTTACTCAGAGTAGACAGAATGTTAGGAATCTAAAAATGAAAGATCTTCAGCAGAGTGATCTTCCGAAGGATCAACAAGTTTGTCTTCAACAATTTTTTAACTCAACAATGAAACTGGGTCCAAATTTTCATCCAAAAACAAAGTAGATTAAAAGGGGTACCGTTTAAATGTTGACAAGAAAAATCCATGGATCCTTCAAGACAAACAAACGCTACCTATTTCTTTGAACTGAAAAGAATATTTTACCACCTTAGTGTATATGCTGGTTAGTGTTACGTTAGCAAAGATACACATTCAGATCACGATTTTAATCACATTTTCTTAAACTTTATCTTCAACTGGTCATGAGTAATTTCAAAATAATGTTATAGGGTGCAAAAGGCTCCTAGTTATCTCAATTAAACTTACCAGTAGTGCTGTATAGTGGTACGTTTTTAAAAAAATAAGGAGAACTTACACAATTACAAGTCTTCCTGTTATTTTTTATTTACAGAGTGAAGCAGTAACTCAGGTAAGTTCAAATTGATGTCAGTCATTGAATTTTGGTGTTTGATTACATTTGGAAGCAGTACGCACGTCGGTGTGCGCAGGTCCCCAATATATAACACGGAGTAAATAACAACAAACGGAACAAGCGATTTTTGACTAAATGCTCTGTGTTAACTTTATAACAACTACAATTATAATTGCATTCTGAACGCTGCATTGAATTAAACTGCTTGATGCCTAATGTGGCAATTGTATACGAGATGTCGTTTGATCTAAAGTTTCTTGTTAGCATTGCCTGGCTGTCTTTTGTCTGTTAGAAATTGTTTTAGTAACAAGTGAGACGTACAGACAATTCAACAGCTTAAATTCAAAAAAAACAAAGTGACATCAATAGTTGCACAGAGTAAGCCATAAGATAGCCAGACCACATCAGTAACTCCTCCTTTGCCACTGGGTCGGCGGGGCTGATAGCGACGGAGTCTATTTACATCCACACGCTGGTGAACGTTCAAATTAATCTACAGAATAATGGTCGTGTACTCTTTAACAGTAAGTGGTGATAATCTAACTGCACAGCGACTTAGGGCCTCAAGCTGTAGAAATAAAAAAAAGGAATTTGGGGTTGGCCACTCTGTAATGCTATCCTTTTTATGTACACCCGACGTGTTCCAACCCAGAGTCAATGGGCAGGGTGCTTCGAAATGCCAGAAGGTTATTATTAATAATGTTCTCTTCAAGTCCTTGAACAATGACTCTTGGCAAATACTCTAGAAAAACGTGACAATACGAAAACAATACCTAGTGTCACGTTCAACGTGCCTCGGGCAGTTCTGTTCATAAGGGTGCATGAAAACTGTGACCGAATAAAAAAAGGTGTTTATATCGGCTGAGAAGGGAAAAGTGAAATAAAGAGACCTCATGAAAATATACTTGTGTCGTATCTCGCCACTCTACTGCCAAAGAGTACACTTTCAACCCAGAAATAACTCAGGATTGTGGAATTCTAAGCTTATATATAGGTGTTTGCCACCAACTTGTAAAGTTGAAGTTGACTGTCAATGTTGAATAAGCAATTGACTGGCATGACGTATTAATTATTAATCTATAAATAATTATTTATTTACAGTCTGCAGCTCCCTTGTGTCACCAATGCAAAAGTGTAATTCTCTCCACAAGCCTTGTCGAAATCCAACTTAAAGGACCTACACCAAGTAAGCTTGTCTTGTGCTTGAAAGACGCGAGACCTAATGGGTTAATCTTTGGCATAACCTCAAATCTATTATCACACAGTAGTTCCAGTTAACAATTTAATGACCTAAGCATAGTTCACCGACAAAATCTGATGGAAAACATCCAAACACAGACACACTGCTGCGATAAATGAAGGTAAAATGGAATTATAACCCAGGACGTGTATTTTGCTATTCAATGACACTTTAAAATTAAATACGCTCATTTTTAGTGGGCTCACGTATGTCTAGCCGCATTAATTGTGCCCAGTTGGGTCACGAAACGATAGCGGAAAGTGGAGGTCATGCTTGCACTCAGAAGGAAGCCGAAAATACGAGTTAAATGCGGTCAAACAGCAATTGCAATCTACAGTGCAGTTCATTTCTCTTCGAGCGCATTACAATAACTCCTCGCACAATTCACCTGTTCTAATCTTCGTGCGAATCCTAAAAGGCAACACCCTTAGACAGCTAACTATGCTGACTTCAACGTAACTCGTGTGATTCTGCAATCTTTCGGGGCATCCACTTGCTCTCACATCTGCTGCATTGAACAACGCATAACTAGTTAAGGCAATTGTAACGCCAGTGGAAGGTCGTTACGTCTCATTAAACGTTCACACGAGTTTCCAATTGCCTATTAATGTGGCCGAAAGGTGAACTTAATTTCAGTTAAGCGGCGTTGACTGGGGGGTGACAACACAGGACTGAACTGCTTCACTTCGAGCGTAACTGCTGAACATCGATGCAGGCATACATTTGAGACTCTGTTTTGTTTCTTGCAGAGACGTCTCAAAGTTTCAACAGTGGACGCTTGCCGTCGTTTCCTGTAAGCTGCATTACTTTAGGTTAACAGTATCCTTGTTTCTAGCCACCACCTCCATCAGAACCACCAGTAAGGTGCGTCAAGTCTCCCATCTCATTTTTACTCCTGTTCGCCTGCTTAATTGGCTAACCTGGATTTTCTTTCCTGTCGAACAGCATAGAAGGCAGTAGAGCAAGTCCGGGCATGCAGAACTGGTATCCGAAACGTAAGTATTGTGTCGTGCCTGGTTGGTTTGAGCAATGGAGCACAGGTGCGACGCAGCAATTGCTAGGCGTAGCATCGAGTACAGAATATAGACAGATTTTGAAATTTAGTCCGTTTTAGACTAAGTGTAAACGCTCTGATAATCGTAACTTGATTCAGAACAACCAGTAGCATTTGTACGTCCTCTTTGGCTCCCCTGAAATTGCTACCGCTGCCACCATTTAATCATCGTGAGCACCCTCTTGTTTCTAAAAAGAACGAATAAGCGCGCATAGAACTGAGTCCGTGTCGAGAGCGTGTGCCATCTCCATGTGTACATTTTGCAATGCGAAGCATGTACATCGTTTCGCTTTAGTGCGCTCCTGGTTCACTTTAATTGTTTCAACGCGACCAACTGTGGAAACAGTGACGGTGATGCAACATTCTGCTCTGTGATCGGTGGGAAGAGGTGCCATAGCATGTTGGTACAGTCTGAGGACCATCGCCGTCAATCGAAGCAAGTGTCCAAGACAGCCTTTACCACCTTGCTGGCTTTCAACATCAATACACAAGCTCTTAGCACTGAGGATGTCTAATCAACTTCCAAATAGGAATGCAGTTTGTGATGGTGTTGAATTGGTGGGCGTGAATTAAAGTGCAGAGATGGTGTGTCTCAAACGCCAGATACAAATTTATCAGTCTCCTTCCGACACGCAAGATT